GGGGGGGGGGGGGGGGTGATGGTGAAGTTTCGAATTGATCGGTACATAATACACCCCTTACTTCTCAATGGTCAAATTAAATATACTACATTGTGTATAATATTAATATATGGACTGGTTCAAAAGTATATTGAATTTATAACTTATAAGTACTTGTTAAACTATTGATGTCATGTAGAGATTATGCCAAGTATACAATGGCACAAGGATTTTCATGTTATCAGCATGATTAAATCGTGCAAATAATTTGTGTAAAATCTCTTAGAGATATCCTCGGTAGCCACATTTTAAGGTAAAATGACTATGGTAAAGCTATTCAAGGAAAAAAAGCAATGGATCTGTCAACCTCGTTGTCAACAGTATTAATTTAACTAAATTTATGATCCATTTATTGCCGTATTTTAGCTGAGAATTCATTTAAGACAATGCAATACGATAGACTTACCTTTGAATTTATCATATATTCTTTTAAAATGGTCACCAAAGCTCTAAAACACGATTGGTATCGTTTTAACTTCCTCACTCCTTAATGTTTACATGTAAATTTGTCAAATTACACTTGTTTAGGGCACTGGAAACGAGACGCGGCCAAGATGCGCGAGGCGACATGCGCGGGGACATCAACATCAAAGATTCCGACATCGAGTGAGACTTCTGGTCTTATTATTTATTTTGTGGCCAGGGCCTCCGGCAACGCAGTGTCAGCCGTGAGGCCCTGGGACCGAGGATGCTTCGAATCTTGCTACGAGAAATAGTTGCGTATGCGAGTATATTAGTATAACTATAGTCCCGTTCAGTCACACTCAATATTAACAACACCAAGTACTTGCCTAAGCATGCAAATTTAAAAGCGGCAGCCCGTAAGATTCAGCAATTTTTTCTTATGCTTACGTCTCGATAATGATATTAATGAGGCCATAAGTCCGCCTTCGTTCCCAGATGCAGGTCAACTAAAATGACGTGTTTATATATATACGCCGTGTATATGATATGTGTAGGGTAAAACTATTGCGCAAATTGGTTATATGACACTCCAAAAGTGCGGGATTTTCCCCGGCGAGATTAATGAAAAATAACTGAGTAATCTTATTATACATAGCTCGTGATGCGACGCAGATGCAGTTTTTCGAGTTATTCGACTCACAAGTCACAATAGCACCATAGTTCTTAGTAAATACACAGCCATGTGTGGCTTGAATTTAAGGAAAGTAAGATAAAGCTGTGTGTAAGCCATGGTATATGTATGGTGTATAGTGTAACAAAATATACATCTGCACAAAGAAAACATTTAATTTGCTACAGCATAACCTTTCTAGTTGGGTTCTGGTGAGGTCGGTTTATATATGAACATCTCAATCATTTTAACTAGGATAAACCGTCCTTATAACTAGGATAAACCGTCCTTGCAACTAGGATAATAAAACCGTCCTTATATTATGACAAACCATCCTCATATAACAAGAACTAGGGATCCAAGGACAGTGTGAAGTTTCAAATTGAAAAAGATTCTGCAAGAACTATATAGGGTCGCTGACAACCTAGAAAAGCTGATGTCTTACACTACGAAATAAACAATCACCAACGGCATTTCATCTCATTATATAGAGAATAATACATGAGTGCGCGGAAATACCAGATTTATTTCGAGTGTTGAACATGATATCTCACGAGTGAGCGCAGCGAACGAGTGAGATATCATGTTCAACACGAGAAATAAATCTGGTATTTCCAAGCACCCATGTATTTTTCTGTTTATTATATAAACAAAATTCAGTGAAAAACAATAAAACGTCTGTGGCAATGCGTTTTACAACAAATGATATTTCCACACGTAAAAATATCGTATTTTTTAAATACGATTTTTCTCAGTGGCCAAAAACTATATATAACACTTATGTTTATATAATAAATATTGCTTTTAATGCGCTCGACACACGAGTAGCGTGACGTTTGAAACAAGCCTAAATATAACACATCAGAAACGTGCTTTGCGAAACTGATACAATTTATCTATTTATTGTGATGCTGCACGCGACAATTCGAAATTTCAATTGCAGCTGTCGCTAAAAGCATCCGCACAAGGCTACTGAAAACTTATAATTGAAATAGATGTATACGATATGTTATAAATAATAAGCACTACGTCGTTACATCATTGAAAGGAAGAATTTTATCTTCATCCGTTCCGTATTTTTTTCGCATTTCCGTTCTGTGGTCCGCTCCATCCGCTTCCGCATTTTAACCTAATTGTGACATATTTTACAATAACAAGTCCGCATTGACCTTTGACTTTTCCCAGTGTCACGTTGTGTCTATTTTTAGCTTTTCGCATGTTTTGAATGTCACTTTAGATTTCAGTAGTTTCACAGTTATAGCAGTGTTTAAAGCAGTTTTGACAAGCTTTGATACAGTTCTGTGTACAGAATACTACAGATTAATTCTCGTAAGATCTGGTAGAGTTAACGTTGTACTGAACACGAATTTGCACCGTTGACAATGGCGTTGTGCTAGACAGTAAACAAGGTCCGCGACAGTACACGTTGGCTACATGTACCTCCTTGCTTTTTTCTTCCATTGCATAAAGCTTGTTGGTGAGCCAAGCGATTGGCGATAACACGTTGGCGATAACATATTGGCTACCTCCTTGTCTTTCTTATTAAAATAAGGAGCTCTGACTCAACTGATTTCCTTCGTCTCGCAATATTTTCTTCATATAAAACGCCTGTACGAACGCCCGCTTCTGTTTAATAGTTGTTGATGCTTTATTGATCTGATGCAATTTTTCGCTCTTTGCCTGAGTGTACTATTCTGTGATGTGGCACCTTATACAGTCAAATAACAATGTATAATGAATACAGGGTCTAAATAATATCGTCTATCGATGGGCACTTAATTGAACGCCGGTAGCCATACTCATCAATTTATATATCATATTACTGCGTAGAATCTCAAAGATGTTCTCAATATTCATGTCTGAAATGTTTATATATTTGAAAAACAACACTGTCTCGCTTCTTCGTACATACTGTACCCCTGTATAACGAGTATACCGTGAAAATAATATCAGCACTCAATTGAATGCCTAGAATCTCAAAGATTTTCGGCTCAATATTTACGTCTGAAATGTTTATACATCTGAAAACAACACTGTCACTCCTTCCTAGCATATCGTCACGCCATCGTGATCTACGGCTTGATAGCGCATGCGCATTTGCGCTGCTAAAGAAAAATCGGGTGTTCCGGGGTAAAGATCCTTTACACAACATGAGAAGCGAATGTTCTAAAATTTACAAAGAATTACAATAACGAAAGCGATTGCTCGAAATTTTTGTGAACTTGGCAAAAGGATAACAGAATATGTAAATAAGTTAACTGAAATTGCCTAAATAACCTTCAAAGTACTGACTAAGGTCACTAAGCACAATAAATCACTACGAACATACATCGTACACGCCCCCCGGAAAGTTTACTGTATGACTGACTGACTGTTTCGTTTGAATTTTCCCCACCATCACAATACTGTGAAGTTTCGAAGAAACTTCACACTAAAAACCACGTCTTTGTACTGGGTGTAATTTTTTGTAGTTGATTACATGTTGTTCGTACGGCTGGCATGATACAAAGTATCAATAATAGCTATAGAACTGTGTTAAGACTTGTGCATAGGAAATTAAGTGAAATGCAGCAAACAGTGCATTATGAATCTTGACTCGTGTGTATAAAGTAGCAGTAAGATAAGGCTGTATTACAGCTGTTATAACAGATCTAGCCTAAGATATTCCAAAATAGTTCCCTGAGCGAATAGCGGATGCGACACAAGTTCGCATACAATATTAATCTAAATATGCAGTTAATTACGTGTCTTGTTTTATATGGTATTAAATTAAACAAAGTAGCAACAGCATGCAACTGGAGATAATAAGATAGCACGTAACCTTGAGTAGGCGCGAATGCATAGTGTACTAATACAATACAAATTGTGACTCATGTTGGACAGCAGAAGAGCGAGATAAAGTTATATATTAATAGTGTAATATAGCAGTAAATTCAAGAACGTTATATTAGAGAAGTATATAAACAATATGGAACGAACTCACTCCGTTTGAGGTCACAGAACGTGGATTGCAAGCGGCAACATTCTGGTTCTGGAACACTGCATGCCTGGGAATCTTGTGCGTCTCAGGGAAACTGCGTCGTCCTTGGACTTGTGATCTTGCGCATTGCTTTGCCATTTGTTCCAAGATTGCTTGCCAAGGTTCGGTCCCTTAAATTTTAGCCAAAAATTTTGCCAGAGATGTTAACGCACTGGCTAAAGTCTTGCGAATAAGCAGAGCACGTCGACATTGCGATCAAAAGTCCTTGCGCAAAGAGGGGGCCATTGTACGTATGCACGTGAAGGAAAAAACCTTCAGGATAATTTCTGATTGGTTAATCCCAAGTTTGCATCAGTTGTTCACATGCTTAGCAGCCAAAGTTCGATATTTATCAGATATTTTGTAATATTAACAGGCTAGAAAACGGTTCCCTTGTTCTTCCAAGGTACTTGGACCTTGTACGTACCTGGTACGGATTAATTGTTGTGACGCAGATGCGTTGGCAGACTGAAAACACCCTCGGGCAGATAGAGCCTTCAAAACATATTACTCCATTAACCGCAATTTATAGCTTTGCTTAAATTGATTATATAATGGGCAAGATACTTGCCATCTTAGCTTGATTCTTTCTCGAGAAACTTACAGTCGGGTGTCAAATCGGGTGTTCTCTTGCGCGCTACATTGCAGAGCCCACGCAATATTGAGCAACTTGCAACTGTTTCGGGAAGATTGACGTCCGGTTACATCAGAAATTCAACATTTTCGTATTTAAACTGCCTGAGAGAAAATGCTTCCCACTCACACAGCAGTATTGTATTAAAATATGAATTTGCATTGGAAAAAGGTGAAGCCTTTTGGAAAAAAGTGAAGCCTTTTAATAGGGAATATGCTGAGGAACCTTCACTACACACGTTTCCAAATTGATCAAGCCAGACATGCAACATTGTAATGTTGCAGAGCAATATTGCAATATATTCTGCACGAGAACACTCGTTTTGACTGTAAGTAACAATGTTTGATATACAAATTCTCCTCACTGTGCGGTCAAATTGCAAAATGGCTACCTAAAAAAAAACTTTTAGAACTCTTATATAGGGGGGGGGGGGAGAGGAGGGCACCCCCTTATAAATCATTGAATCAAATTTGTCAACATGTAACATATATTTGTTGACATAACACACGGTATATTATGATTTCGATGCACAATATCGCTGTTGGAGATTGTCAATATTTAATATTTAACAGTTTATGGCATACCTGAAGTTATTTAATGCGCAAGTGTCAATCAAAAAAGCATGCAGTTTGTACATTGCAAGGACTTTGTGTGATTGTGTTGAGACGTAGCCTGCTCACAGACGTTGTAGTTCTTACGCCAAGCGACGAAATACTACCGTCTGCTTACCCGAGCTGCATATTCAATTCCCTTTGTTTTAGCCGAGCCAATCATCTGGCAGTGTTCAAAAACATTAGAGCCAATTGGAAGCCGCCTTATATATTGAGAGATTAGCTACTGGGAAAAGCCCTTGCACATGCATTGGAATATATTGTTTGGGTTGAAACTTGAAATTTGTTTACTTGCGTGGGATATATTTTGGAAACTATAGCGTTGAACTTCACGATGTTTACGTAGAATAATATTGTTATCATCTTCTCGCATGTTCAACAAACAATCGGTGTATATAAAGTGCTAAAGCAATGCAGTAGGCGAAATTTAAATTTTTGTTTATAACAATGACAAACAATCAATCGGGAACCAGGATATGTCCAAATGTTGCTCTTGATACTTCCTATATGCCATGACTTCGACGAAAACTTCTAAAAGATTAAGCTCTCATTGTCATGTAGAAAAGTATAGCCAAGTTAGAGTATATTAAACGTTTCGAAGTTTGGGCGAATTGGAAAATTCATCACGGCGCAATTTTAATACAAGTTTCTCGGGTTTGTGTTGTGTTTACAGTTTACATTCAGAAGTGGTTGCTCAGACAGCAAATTAGTTTACTTTGAAGCTAATATTTCGCTTTCTAAGCCACAGTATTATATAAAATTTTCTGTCTTCCGAGTTCTGTTGTCTTATAAAGATAAACCGTTCAAATTTCAGCGAAATATATTCGGCATTTGATGCCGTCTGGCTGGCTAAGATTCATACAGTATAAATATGCCAATCCTGTCCGCGTTTTAAATATATTAAACCGAACATCTTTAATATCCAAATCTGATCATTAATGGTGCATTTTATTACCTGGACAAGTATCAGTATCTTTAAATTCAATTTATGTGCAATTTTGACCAAAATTCAACCGATGACTGCTTTTAAAATATATATTTATATTTATTCCGCTCCTAAATCAACTGACGTCACTTTCCAGAATTTGGAAGGTAAATTCTGATTGGTCGACGTAGCGGAATTCAGTTTGGCGCTCGGGTAAGCAGACGGTAGTATTTCGTCGCTTGGCGTAAGAACTACAACGTCTGTGAGCAGGCTAGTTGAGACGGGGCGAGAATAAATATATTTTTCATAATAGCGTTTGAAATCTCTACTTTTAGTGAGTTGTTGTGAATATAGGAGGCAATTCACGACACAGTGGCACCTCCGAACGGGATTAATCGTGAGTTAGCTCGAATCAAGAGCAAAAAACCCGTGCTTGTTGTGAAGAATCGACATTGTGAAATAATATATTTTATATATTCTCGAGTATAACATGGATAAACAACTAAACGAACTCGCGAGCAAAGTAAAAGCTCTGAGATTTAGGCAAGGAAAAACCGAAGAAATAATGGCTAAACAAGACCGGCAAGCGTCTGAGCGTCAGCGAGAATCTATTGACAATGTCACCAAAGCGATAATCAATCTTAAAGAGACCGTAGAAGAAAAGAAATTTTCCAAGGGCGAGAGCGAAGAAGACGTCGCAGAATGGGCTAAAGAATACGAAAACGAACTTGCTATAGCGGACGAAAATGTACGAAGATTGGCTCAACAAATTAAAGAAATCGATCGCCGAGAACAACACGAGAAGGCAGTGCAAGATCATAAGAAAAACCTTGAATTTGAGCGAGAATTACTCGAGCAAAAAGCTGAATTTGAGAAAGAACGCGAGAAAGAAAAAGCAAGCGAAGCAGAAAATAGCGAACAATGTAAACAAAATTCTGCCGCTAAATTACCGAAGTTACCTATAACGAAATTTGACGGCAAATTCGAATCATGGCTACCGTTTTGGGGGAAATTTACGTCGGAAATCGAATCAACGAAAATACCAATCTTAACGAAGTTTGCCTACTTAAAAGAATTACTTGATGAGTCTGTACGTTGTGACATTGACGGCCTGCCATTTACCGAAGAGGGATACTCAAAAGCCAAAGATATTCTCGAAACCGAATACGGACAGTCAGCTGAAGTTGCGAACGCATACATAGTAAATATCACCAATCTACCGGTAATTTCAGGGACAAATCCTACTAAAATACACGATTTCTATAAACAACTGAGATATAACGTTCAAAGTCTTGATACACTTGGCAAATTAGATGATGTGAGAGGAAATGTGCGAGCAACTTTGGACAAGTTAAAGGGAATAAAAGCAGACCTAGTACGCGGGAATGAAGGCTGGCAAGAATGGAGCTTTGATGATCTTCTAAAAGAGCTGAAAAAGTGGAAAGATATCAATCCGATCGAGAAAAAATCAGAGCCAAAAGATCAACTAAAAGGCGGGAAAGGTTCAAGATCGAAGTTTTTCCATGCAAAGGATTCGGGACGCGACATGCGAGAACGAGGTTGTGTGTACTGCGAGGATACCACGCACAAAGGCACGAACTGCCCAAAGGTTGTAACAAGAGAACAAAGAAAAAAGATTCTGGCGGAAAAGAGACTATGCTTCAATTGCACAGGAAGTCAACATCGTGCTGTCAACTGTAAAAGCAAACTCGGATGTCAGAAATGTAACAAGAAACACCATACTTCAATCTGTGAGCAATCAGAACAACTCTTAGTGACTGGAGGTCATATGAACACGCGCGTTACGCACCCAGTGGTTATAGTCGAAGTTGAAGGTGTTAAGTGCAGAGCCCTGCTCGACACCGGAGCAGGCAGTTCTTACGCGTCGGCAGCACTTTTGGATCGCATTCCAAAGCGGCCGTCCAAGAAAGAAATACGAAAAATTGATATGATGCTCGGCGTGACTACGAGGGAAGTCGAATTGTCAACCATTGAAATCAAGGGAACATCGGGTAAATTTTCTATGAAAGTCGAAGTCACCAAGGTGAACAAAGGAGAACTTGTGTTCATAGACAATCCGAGATATCAGAACATGATAGAGCAAAACCCACATTTGAAAGGAGTCATCATGGAAGACATTGATCAGAAAGAGCGACTTCCGGTGCACATCATTCTCGGAGCAAGTGACTACGCAATGTTGAAAACTGATCAGCCACCCAGAGTTGGTAAATCGGGGCAACCGGTAGCTGAGTTGACACAGTTTGGATGGACCATCATGTCCCCTGGAAAAGAATCCTGTGACGTGACCAATATGCTTTTGACTCAAACATCCCAGGCTGATTACGAAGAACTGTGTCGCCTGGATGTCTTGGGTTTGAAAGATACACCCACCAACGACCAGCACAGTGTATTTGACGAGTTCAAAGAACAACTCGCCCGGGACCCAGCTGGTTGGTACGAAACAGGGCTACCGTGGCGCGGCAACCATCCTGTATTACCCAACAACGAAGCTAATAGTTTGCGACGATTAGCAAGTTTAACGAACAGACTCGAGCGGCAAGGTTTGAGTGTTTGACAACCAAATACGGGGAGATAATGGAGGAACAAAAGGCAGAGGGGATAATTGAGAAAGCTGAACTGCGGAGCGTAGGAAGAGAATTCTACATCCCTCACAAAGCAGTTATTCGACCTGATGCAGAATCCACAAAAATCCGAGTCGTATATGACGCTTCTGCAACAGCACAAGACCGTGTTCCATCGCTGAATGAGTGTCTACATCCGGGACCTCCATTGCAAAATAGAGTGTGGGATGCGTTAGTTAGAGGACGGTTTCATCCAGTAGCTCTGACGGGTGACTTGCAAAAGGCCTTTTTGCAAGTACGTATTCGCGAAAACGACCAAGACGCGCTTCGATTTCACTGGCGGAAAGATCAGCAATCAGAACTAGAGACCTTGAGATTTACCAGGGCACTTTTCGGGCTTGTATCATCTCCTTTCTTGTTGGGGGGAGTCATTGATGCACACCTGAGTAACTGGGAAGAAAGAGAACCGGAAGTAGTAGCAAAACTGCGTGAAGAGTTGTACGTGGACGATTTGATAACGGGGTCAACATCAGTATCGGAAACGGAAGAAGTTAAAGAGAAAGCAACAACTATTTTCGAGGATGCGGGGTTTAAGCTTCACAAATGGCACTCGAATGAGCGTGAATTAGAGATGACACAGTCTCAAGACGGTGATCCTACCTATGCAAAACAGCAGTTAGGGACCCCAGAAGGGGGAGATAGTAGCTTGCTCGAACTTGCGTGGAATAAAGAACGAGATACAGTCGCTGTTACAATGCCCACTGAAAAGACGGTGTTCACCTTCGGGCTTCGTATCTCCTTTAACGCTTACGGGTAAACTTATCTACCGTGCAGCATGTGACACCAAGAATGCCCGGGATGCACCACTTTCAGAAACCCTCGCAATGTTGTGGAACAAGTGGAACAGTGAACTTCCAGTACAAGTGGAACCTGAGAGATCTTTGGCAGTTTATCAAGAGCCAATTGAAGCCATCCAACTGCATTCCTTTCGAGATGCGAGTGGTAACGTGGTTGCGGCGTGTGTCTATGCCGTAGTTGAGCAAGATTCGGGGACCAACCAAGGCCTAGTCGCGGCGAGATCAAGACTACCGAAGCGAGGATTAACGATTCCGAGGCTTCAACTGGTAGCGGCGCATGTGGCAGTCAACTTGGCTTCAAATGTAAAGGAGGCATTGATCGGATTTCCAGTTACGAAAGTTCAATGTTGGTCGGACAGCTCGGTAGTTCTGCATTGGATTACGTGGGGCAGGCAATTCGAAAGGATGATTGCGCTCGTGAAAGCAGCGTTAAGCAAGACCATTGGAAACGGTTTCCTGCGATGGAACGAGTTAGAGGAAGTATTGCTTGATGTCGACGTGGCGTTAAATAACCGTCCATTATCGTACGTGGAGGATGACGTGCAATTTCCAGTGTTAACGCCAAATTCGATGTTGTTTCTGAATAGTTATATTTTACCCGAATTGCAACCACATAATATTGAGGACGGTG